GGTCTTCTGGACAGATTCTACTTGCTAAAATGTTTTGTCTTTAATCCAGAAGACTTCTTCAGTCTGAGGAGCTGCAACAAGCTCAGTCTTATGAACAACACCTTCTCAGTTCATTCTTTCATTCAGCCTTTATTTATACAGGTTAATCCCATTGAGCCTCAATAGTGGAAGCAGTCAACCTACGTCACATCTTCTTCTTTTGGCTTTTCCCTCTTCAGGGGTCTCCACAGCGAGTCATCCTCCTCTGTCCTCACTCTGTCTTCACTCTGTCCTCTGCATCCTCTGCCCTCACTCCAACTACCTCCATGTCCTCTCTAACTGCATCCATATGTCACCTCTTTGTCTTTTTCCTGGCAGCTGCATTTCTAACATCCTTCTACCAATATACCCACTGATCCAGTATAGTGTCACTTAGATACACTCACATTATAGTTTTGGTAAAAGTGTTTTACATTGAATGCCCTTCCTGACACAAACCTCACCATTTACCCGGGCTTGGGACCAGAACCAGAGATACACTGGCTTGTGCTCCCTAGTGGCTGGTTTCCTATCCAACCTACTTCACATATGGGGGGCAGAAACACGGGTGTCCCAGGGTGTGCTATGGGGTCTCCAGTTTCTCCTATTGTGGCCAACCTGTACATGGAGGAGGTAGAAAAGAGAGCTTTGACATCCTTTTCAGGGACACCACCAAGTCATTGGTTCAGGTATGTTGACGACACCTGGGTTAAAAATTAAATCTCAGGAAGTCCAACATTTTACTGACCACATCAACTCTGTGGATAAATACATCAAGTTCACACGAGAAGATGTAAAAAATGGCAGGTTGGCTTTCTTGGACTGTGAGGTCTCAGTCTCAGAGGACATTTGCAAACTGAGGTGTACCACAAACCCACCCACACAGACCAGTATTTGCAGTTTGACTCCCATCACCCTTTGTAGCACAAGTTAGGAGTCATCAGGACTCTGTACCACAGAGCAGACAGCGTCCCCACTAACTCAGGAGCCAGACAGAAGGAGAAATCCCACACAAGACAGGCTCTAGAGCAATGTGGATATTCTAACTGGGCCTTCCTGAAAGCAGAGAAGAAACCCAAACAGGACTCCAGTCAGTCATCAGGTGAAAAGGAGGAACCCAGACCAGTGATCATTCTGTATGTTGACGGAGTATCAGAGAAACAGAGACGTTTATTTTCTAAACACAACGTCCCAGTGGCTTTTAAATCCCAAAATACATTAAAGACTGGTTTATCCCAAAGATCCAGTCCCCCGGTACAAACAGAGTCAGACTGTGTATGTTGTTCAGTGTCAGGAGGGTGATCAGTCTTACATCGGGGAAACTAAACAGCCACTGGCCAAAAGGATGGACCAGCACAGAAGATCAACATCATCAGGCCAGGACTCTGCGGTCTACACTCATCTCCAGGCCAGCGGTCACTCTTTCAGGGATGAAGATGTTCACATCCTTGACAGAGAGGAATGTTGGTTTGAGAGAGGAGTAAAGGAGACCATCTTTGTGAAGAGAACCTGTTGGACTGTTAGACTCATGGGGTAGGGATGGGAGAGGGGCATCATTTTTAGAGGCATGCATCACTTTGCTTATGTACAGGATGAATAAACTTTATTTCTTTTGTATTGCTTATGCGTATAGTTTCTAGGGATGGGCTCGATCCGATCCAGTATCGGTATCGGGCTCTGATGCCAGCATAATTTACGTATCGGATTTTCCGATCCAACCTGGCGATATTTCCAATGCATGATGCATGTCTGTGGTTGCGCTGCACGGTGGCTTCAAACTATGGAATGGATTTCCTGAACGGAGGCATGTCTCATGAGCTCTGAGTAATAAGACCCACCTCACATTCAGGAAATCCATTTCATGGTTTGCAGCCAGCTACAACGTGAGGACTGCGTTAGCAGCACTGTGGCTAACAGCTAACCAAATTTTTATCTAAACATGTCTGCTGTGTGGAAGTATTTTAGACTAGAAACACCACAAAACAAGACAGCAACGTGCAATGTCTGCAGAGCCATAGCTCCACATTAATCTTCGGTAAAGTTAGTTTTATGTTGGACATTCGAGGTCCGTGGCTTCAGTAGTCTTTTATTTTTGTTCAGTCCGGAGAAGGCAATCTGATTTTGGTCAGCCACGCTCAATCTGACCGTGACAGAGGAGGGGCATACTGAGCGCGGCTGACCGAGATCAGACTACCTTATCTGGACTGAACGAAAATAACAGACCACTGAAGCCCCGGCGCTCGAATGTTTACCGTGAAGTTGCTAAACTTCATCATAATTAATGACCAACCACTATCAGTTGTAGAAAACAAAGGATTCCGCAGCTAGATACTTGCAGCCAAGATATAGTTTACCATCTAGAAGATATTTCCATCCATCCATTTTCTTACGCTTATCCGGGGTAGGGTCGCGGGGGTAGCAGCCTAAGTAGGGAGGCCCAGACTTCCCTCTCCAAAGCCACATGGGCCAGCTCTTCCGGGGGAATCCCGAGGCGTTCCCAGGCCAGCCGAGAAACATAGTCCCTCCAGCGTGTCCTGGGTCTTCCTCTGGGCCTCCTTCCGGTGGGACATGTCCGGAACACCTCACCAGGGAGGCGTCCAGAAGGCATCCTAAACAGATGTCTAAGCCACCTCAACTGGCTCCTCTCGACGTGGAGAAGCAGCGGCTCTACTCTGAGTCCCTCCCGGATAACTGAGCTTCTCACCCTATCTCTAAGGGAGAGCCCAGACACCCTGCGGAGAAAACTCATTCAGTACAATTAGTAGAAAATCATAAAAAGCATATACAAACTGGATTCCAAAAATGTTGGGACACTAAACAAATTGTGAATAAAAACTGAATGCAATGATGTGGAGGTGCCAACATCTAATATTTTATTCAGAATAGAACACAAATCACAGATCAAAAGTTTAAACTGAGTGGATGTATCATTTTAAGGGAAAAACCTGTTGTTTCCAAATTTCATGGCGTAAACAAATCCCCAAAAATTTGGGACAAGTCCATATTTACCACTGTGTGGCATCCCCCCTTCGTCTTACAACACTCAACAGACGTCTGGGGACAGTGGAGACCAGTTTCTCAAGTTTAGAAATAGGAATGCTCTCCCATTCATGTCTAATACAGGCCTCTAACTGTTCAATCGTCTTGGGCCTTCTTTGTGGCACCTTCCTCTTTATGATGCACCAAATGTTCTCTATAGGTGAAAGATCTGGACTGCAGGCTGGCCATTTCAGTACCCGGATCCTTCTCCTACGTAGCCATGATGTTGTGATTGCTGCAGAATGTGGTCTGGCATTATCGTGTTGAAAAATGCAGGGTCTTCCCTGAAAGAGATGACGTCTAGATGGGAGCATATGTTGTTCTAGAACCTGAACATAGTTCTCTGCATTAATGGTGCCTTTCCAGACATGCAAGCTGCCCATGCCACAAGCGCTCATGCAACCCCATACCATCAGTGATGCAGGCTTCTGAACGGAGCGTTGATAACAACTTGGGCTATCCTTGTCCTCTCTGGTCCGGATGACATGGCGTCCCAGTGTTCCATAAAGAACTTCAAATCGTGACTCATCTGACCACAGAACAGTCTTCCATTTTGCCACACTCCACTTTAAATGACCCCTGGCCCATTGCAAACGTCTGAGCTTGTGGGGCTTGCTTAGAAATGGCTTCCTCTTTGCACTGTAGAGTTTCAGCTGGCAACGGCGGATGGCACGGTGGATTGTGTTCACTGACGATGCTTTCTGGAAGTATTCCTGAGCCCATTCTGTTATTTCCTTGACAGTGGCATTCCTGTTTGAGGTGCAGTGATGTTTAAGGTCCCGGAGATCATGAGCATCCAGTAGAGTTTTACGGCCTTGACCCTTACACAAAGCGATTGTTCCAGATTCTCTGAATCTTTTGATGATGTTATGCACGGTTGATGATGATAACTTAAAAGTCTTTGCTATTTTACGCAGGGTAACACCATTCTGGTATTGCTGCACTATCTTTCTGTGCAACAATGGTGGAATTGGTGATCCTCTTACCATCTTGGCTTCTGAGAGACACTGACACTCTGAGAAGCTCTTTTTATACCAATCATGTTGTCAATTGACCTAATTAGTGTTAATTGGTCTTCCAGCTGTTGGTTATATGCTCAATTTCCTTTTTCCAGCCACTTATTGCTACTTGTCTCAACTTTTTTGGGATTTGTTGACACTGTGAAATTTTGAATCAACATATTTTTCCTTTAAAATGTTACATTTACTCAGATTAAACTTTTGATCTGTCATCTATGTTATATTACAAATAAAATATTACATTTGTCATCTCCACATCATTGCATTCAGTTTTTATTCACAATTTGTTTAGTGTCCCAACTTTTTTGGAATCCGGTTTGTAAATTGAAAATTACATTTTTTTTTTTTTTCAAAAACAGCTACATTATGGGGGGGGGGGGGGGGGGGCGATCTTCTTTTTCTAAACATTTGAGGGTTCCTAAGTATCAGTGATTCAGGATCAGCAAACCCAGATCAGCGGCTCCAGCAGGTCTCTTCAAGTGATTGCTGAAAGTTTGAGTATTTTCTCAGAAGGCTCCTGTCAATATTTCCTAAAAGAATCAGTTCAGATTTTTTTTTGTGTTCCGATATGTTCTGTGTGACACTCCAGTAATTTGCCAGTCAGTGGAGGAATTGTTACTGTTTGCTGGACTTCCTGTCTCTGCAGAACTTTTCAAAATATATTTACTGATTAGATTTGCTTGATCTTGTTGTTGGTTTTATTGTCAGATTCTGTCGTAGGAAACCATCAAACAGTGAGGCCTTTCAACTGGGATGGACAGAACATCAGAACATTAAAGTGACAGGTGGGCCCCGTTGACCTCTTACATTTTATCTGCAAAGCAATAAACCTATGCCACCCTGCTGCAGAGCATTATGGGTATGCCAGATCCTCCAGAACTGTGGCCTGCCCTTTAGGGAAATTAATTCATAAATGTGAGTTACCTGAAACCTCCTCATGTCTCGAGGGTTTCCTGCATTCTTCAGACAGTTCTGGTTACACTTCAGGAAGAACTTCAGAAAGAACCTACACACACACACAAAGAAGAAGAAAAGGAGACGTTCAGGATGCTCAGGATAATGTTCGGCAGTGATCCTTCAGAACTGAATGTTCTTTGATTCTATTGAGTTGAATGTTGGGAACGTTCCTAATGTCGTGCTGAAGGAGAACCCAAACATCAGTCTGGTTTGAAGAGAACCAAACACTGGGTCCAAAAGAACATGAACCTGTGATCCTGGCCTTTCTTCAGAACAACACAACTACAGTTCCTTCACGTTTCAACCCCGTCTTCAGTGTTTTCCACCAAGATGATGCTGTTAGTGTCCCTACAACTGCAGGAATATGATGTCTGAAGATGACCTCTGACCTCCAATCAGCTGCTTGCACATGCAGTCTAGTCGCCGTGGTAACAGCTTAGCTGATCGTCTCTTGATAACCAGACACGCCATCGCCACTTATCTGCTCAAATGTTACCTTTAGTACAGGTCTCCACGTATCTCCTGCTCTTTCACCTCCCTCCACTTCCTCCTCTCCTGCTCCTTCACCTCCCTCCACTTCCTCCTCTCCTGCTTCGTCCTCTCCTGCTCCTTCACATTTCCTCCACCTCCTCCTCTCCTACTCCTTCAGCTCCTCTCCTGCTTCCTCCTCTCCTGCTCCTTCGCCTCCCTCCACCTCCTCCTCTCCTGCTTCCTCCATCTTTTTGTCTCCTCTGAGTGAATAATCAAGGTTGTAAATCTCTCCTCAGATTCAACTGTGATAAGAATAGACCTGATGCACACACACACACACACAAACACAGAGACACAATTATGTAGCCCACTTTGAACTGTCCTGTGTTAATCTAAATTCATACTAATATCATTTAAGTTTAAAAATGATGTCTACATGATAAAAGTGGACGAAATATGAAAGATAAAAACTCTTTTGTCATTTAGAAATGTCTCTTTTTAAAAACTGTTCATATTTGGTCAGGAAAATCTAGTTTAAGCAGACTGAAACAGGCAGTTTCATTTTTACTACGTTCCTTGAATGTTACATGAAAGTTAGTTTAATGGGTACATGCCATGTTGCACTTTCACAACCTACTCTTTAAGTTGTGCTAAGTTCCATTCTTGTTCAGTTTTGTACTGGATTAAGCATTTTATTTTGCCCAATCAGGTGGGAGTACGCAGGATTAATGGTGCGCTGCATGAAACGTGTGTCAGTGTGGAAAAACCAGACAAGTGCAGAGAGCACAGCAAAGCAGATGTGGGACAGAGTAAAGATGTCCATGACAACGGTTAATGCAGAGATGTCGACTGTAACAGACTTTATGAAGCATATGAAAGATACACACCTTTGTGCGTTTTATGCTGTTTCAGAATGATGCATGTGTAGATGAAAACTATGGTAAGGTATTCCTGGAATACCTTACAAAAACAATTGAAGCTCTCGACCTTTGACCTCTCTAAGTGGCTTTAAGAATTTGTTGGACTCCTGGCAGGGACCAATGCAGACACGTTCCTGTTTTTAGTTTTCTACATTCGCCTTAGAATCTAGCTGTTTTTTTGTTACCTTTTTCTTTTAGCCATCCTATTTGTTAAAAAAAAACAAAAAAAAACTGGAGTATGACTTTTTATAACTGTTTATTGTTGTTGCTGTTGTCCATTGTTTCATCTTTCTTTGTTGAAATCAGGTCTCTCTTGTAAATGAGTCCTCGAGGCTCATTGGGATTTACCTGTAGAAATAAAGGTTGAATGAATGAATGCTAAGAGCAACTAGTATTTTAGCATGCTAGCAAGATGGAGCAGCTCAGGTTATTGTATTTTGAAATGTAAATCCAAACATTAGTGGCTGGTTAAGCTCTTAATGGCTCCATATGAGAATTCAGTGTGATTATCTAAGAAATATATGGACTGAGAGCTGTTGATGTGTACAGTAGACCAGGAGCTAATCTTTGGATTTGCTGGACGAGTTAAAAGTTCCCCATTCAGCCATTGGGTTCCCATCTGTGAGGTTGCTGCCAGGAAGGATCTTGGTGTTCATGTGACATCACCTGCCTACTTTACTCCGTGCCCTATTAAAGGGATCTCCACATCTACCTTTCCAATCCAATCTCAAACTCTGAAGGATTTGTGAGTACAAAACTAAACCACAGCACATGCTTTTTATTTTATTTTATTTGCTGAGGGATCAAACAAACTTTTTGTTTTTAGCTTCCACGTAATTTGTGCAACAAATTACTTATTCTATTTACCTTTTATTTTCTTAGTAAAGTGTTTTTAAATTTAAATCGGGCATCATTGTCTTATTTGAAAGTTATTTTAAGTGGGTTTTTTGTATTCCAAGGGAGTGTATTTAATAAAAACATACAGTTATCAGAGTTAAATTCTTAGTGGGTCAAACAAGGTATAAATTCATAATTTCCTGCTAAGTGGAGGCACTGCCATTAAATTAAAAATAAATAGTAAGTTGTATCTCCTGTAAGCTGCTAGTACAGCTATCTTTAAAATAACATTCCCAGGGCCCCGACCAATGTAGTACATTCCAATCTAACCTATTAGTTAACTCTTTAGCTACGTGGTATGGGTGCTACACAAATTCGAGGTACCGCTGGGGTATCATTTGTCAAATATTAGCAAACAGTATTTTCTAAATACAAGATACATTTCCTGAGTATCCAGTCAAAAACAAATTGAATGTACGTCAAACTGTGTTGGTTTTATGAAGTTATTTTGATTCTAGCTATTGTAAACATCAGCCAACAAAATAAAAGTAGTCATGAGCAGTTCATCCCAATCAGAGTTAAGTAGTTAGTGTAGGGGAGAAGGCACTGACCCAAAGCATGTGTTGATGGTTTGTGGAATCCCAGGAAATGACGATATAGAGAGCATTGAAAAAACATTAGAACCCGAGATGGTGTAAGGGCAGGGCAGCCGATTCGGGACCCGAAAGTCCTGGGTTTGATCCCCAGTCATTGTACATCTCGTGGTGTCACTGAGCAGGACACCCAATCTCGATTTGCTCTTCGGGTACTAAAATAGCTGCCCACTGCTCCACCTGGTGGTGGATGGGTTAAATGCAGAGAGCCAATTTCGTCTTTGTATGGGAACATACAATGATGACAACACATAGCACATTATTATTATTATTATTATATTATAAAAGCACTTGACCGTGTAAGAGTGAGGCCGAAGCTTTGACGCTAAACATGAGACTGTCACTGTCTTATGTGACTGTCGTGAAGAAATTGATCCTTTCAAGGTCCCCCCTGAAATACTCTCACCAGTGGGAGATAAGTGGAATGCAGTGATAGCTCTTCCAGATGCTATTTCAAGCTGTTTCTCTGACAAGTTAGTTAGATTTCTACAAGATGAGTGGAAAACCATCGATGACATTAGGAAGCTGTATGCTCCACCCACCCTAGTGGACACAAACACTGAGTCTATTATTAGTGCACTGGGTAAGGTGTTGCATGGAAACCCTAAAGTTCTGAAAATAATGCATACAGACATCCGAGACACTTTTCAGGAGTCATCCCCACCCCTCCAGGTGGAGTGTTTATCGATAGATATTGGGCTTGAACAGGCAAAGTACATGGGCAAAGAATGTGAGTGCTCAGATAAAGAGAAAAGAAGGAGAATTGTGGAAAGTTTTAAAGGTCCAGCTTTGAAAATAATACAAGCAGTTTGCATGTCTAATCCAGATGCAAGCCATGTGGAATACATACAGGCTTTAGAAAATACATTTGGAACTTGTGATTCAGGCAAGGAACTGTTCATTTCCTTGAGGTCACTTCAGGAAAAACCCAATGACCGGTTTTCTGAGTTTCTGCTTAGGTTGGAAAGATCTCTCAACAAAGTAGTGATAAAAGTTGGTCTACCATCTAGTGCAGTTAATAAAACTAAGCTTGAACAACTTATTAAAGGTGGAACTGAGTCAGACCTTATGTTACTTCAGCTTAACCTAAGAGAAAGGTATGGGAGTCTTCCACCTTTTTTGAGCCTCTTAAAGGAAATTAGAGGGGAAGAAGAGCAAGAATCAGCAAGGCAATGTCTCAGGAAGCCTAACAATCACCAGCATGTACACACAGTACAGATAAATAAAAAAAAAACAGTCAAACAGAGAGCAACGAAATGATCTTCAGACTGAAGTTCTGGAGTTAAAAACAATAATTAAAAAGCATATTACAGGCAGTCTCAGTCAGCTGTAGATGACCAGCACTGAAACGGGTCCAAAGAGAAAAAAAAGTAAAAAATGAATTTAGCAGTGAAGTACAGTCCTTAAGAAAATAAATCAAAGCTCTGCAACATCAGATAAACATAACGACTGTCAACTCAAACCCAAACTCTAGAGGCAACAGTGAGTATCGTAGATAGAAAGCTGATACAAACTATACGGCTAAGTTTAAAGTGCAGCCAACCAAAGACACAGGAGACTTCTGCTATAAATGTGAAGAAAATGGACATATTGCATCAAAATGCACTTCTCCTGAAAATGCACAAAAAGTTATCAGAAAGCTAATTTGTCAGTTGTAAGGAAGGGTAGACAGAACGAGAGGCCCAAAGATCATGATGAGAAAACTGCCAGATTAAACAAAGCTAAAGCTTCAAGCTCTGATTTACCTGAAGGGCTCGTTAGTCCATCCTCCATCTTTCCTATTAAAGTAAATGACATGTCCTGCCATGCACTCATGAATTCTGGATCTACAGTGACCATCATATTTGAACACTGGTATAGAGCACACTTATCCACTATTTC